TGCCCTCATCATTCTCAAAACATTTCCTCTCCACCTAAGCCCCTGGCATTAGGTCCTCAGGTAACTCTTTCTGAGGATAGAAAGACTCCTTATTCCCCAGACCAGCATCTGGTGGTTTCGAACTGCTGATCTTACAGTTAGCAGCCCAACGCATAACCACTATGCCACCGAGCCTCCTCTTTGACATAGAAAGTTCGTGGAAAAACTTCATTTTTTAATTTCATTTTTCCATAAATGTTTTTAAGTCACCTTATGTATTTCCTCACGGCTAACTTCCATTTCATCCTTTCAGTCTGAACTCTCTCGGGGACTTCAATTTCGATAAATTTAAAACTACTTGTTCTATCAAGCTCCTTTCCTTAACTCAGCTGTGCGGATGGAGAACATTCCCAAGCGCTCTCCATCCAGTGTTCCCAAATAGGTAAATGACAATGAGCAACTTAAGCTGAATTTTGAGGAGACATAAAGAATGCCTTCTTCTCATTGTCCCTCAACTTCACTCCAAGTTTCATAAATTCTCTCTCCTAGAGACAAAGGTACAGCTCTTTAATTCTACCATCATCATCATCCCATCAGCTGGATATCTATCACAGAATCCCAACCGCTGACCTTAAAATCATTCATGCTCCTGTTTGCCTTTGAAGCTAATCTACATGGAAACTAGTAAACCGTCCAATGTGAATTATATCATATCTGCTCTGCTGAAATCCTTTGATGATTCTCTAATCCTGTCAGTGCAAATATGAAAATTTTAGACACTTTCTCAAGCAAGGCCTTTCTCTCCTGCCTGCTTCATGATACCCTGCATCCTACCATCAAAAGCCTTTCATCACCTCCTAAAACACTGGTAGCTCTGCTCTGCTTCAGGGTCTCTGTGCACACACATCGCTCAGTTTCAAAGATTATGATTGCTGTGAGTTGCCATTGCGTCAACGTCAATACACAGCATGGTACCTGGCAACCTTATGAGAAGAGCATGCACTATTGGCTGCTCTTGTACTTCACAATGATCGTTGGTGTGTTTGAGGCCAAGGCTGCAGCTATGTCAGTCTACTGCACGGAAGGTTTTCTTGCATATTCACTATTTACCCGACATGATGGCACGGCTCTTTTCTGGTGACATGTCCAAATCAAGAAAAGGGATATCTGCCTTGCTTTCAGTGAACAGTCCACCAGTGGTTTCCCTTTGGTCAACTGATTATACTGATTCCATTCAAAATGTACAAACTTAGACATCACAGAGACATTTAACCATAGAATCCATCTCCACACCACTCACCACCATTACAAGGCCTAACTTATATTTTAAAAAAATATTTCAAACTATTTAATCTATTTACATTATTTGTTTAAACATGGACAGATATTTTTCACAGCTC